GTGTCTTAGCCCATTGGTTAAGTGACATTTTGACCACTTCGAAACCTTGCTATTCTGAACTTAATCCTTCACAAAGTAGAGAATATGAATTAGGAAGAAACAGTCCTCTAAATGACCGAGATTCTTGTCGAAATCAGTCATATTCAGAGCGTATAAAATAAGCTACACTAATTTGTCTGTTCAACCATAAATACAAATCATAAATGAGTATTATAAACTGTTCGCGTTATTTTACGCTCAAAAGACAAGTATTATTTGAGAACACTACTAATTTCTTAATTGAAGGTCATTAGTATTGCACTTTCAACACTGATCTGGGCACTGTGGCCAGCAGTAAAAAAAATTAAATAAGTTTGTCTTTCGTGTACGCGTTTGTCATCGATATTAAAAGTGTAGGAGTAAACCTACCAGTCTCGAACTTTTTGTTAACTTAGTTTTAGACAGAGACGAGTAAACTAATCACCTTAAACGCGAGAATGTACTAATAAGCTGGCCAGTAATCTACCTTAAACAACTTGGTCCCTATTATACAGTGAGCAAGGTGATAATTAGAGTAATTCTGACAGAAGTGGAGGATCATGAGGTGATATTGTCGGGGAATACTAAGAAGACTCTTACGGCGCTTGTATTTACGCAAAAAAATTGGGAACTATAGTAGGGTACAATTGCATGAGGAACAGATTGTGCTGCAAACCTAATTTGATAAATAATGCCCTATTATTATGTAGTATACCAAATTTTTATTTTCTCAAATTCTTGTTCAACATACAGTCAGCCAGGTATTTATTGGATAGATAATAGCTCTATCTAATCTTCATGTATCTTTTAAACAAAGTAAATTAAAATCCCTGCAGAGGAGGATGACTTCATAGAAATCAGCTTACAAAAGTAACATTTCTAGTTCGAATACTTTTTGAACGTTTCTGTAAAGTCATATATTAAAAGGTTAACATTTTCACTAGAATTCTAATAGATCTGAAAGACTTCACAGACTAACTGTTTTGAAGTACTTGAATGCAGGACTAGTTGCAATCATTGTCAGAAGAAAATATGAGAATACTGAAGTTCAATTTTTTTTTAAAGAATGATATTCACTGTAATTTGTGTAACACTTGACTCTCGATAAATAAATATTCTAAATGTGTGAATAATTGAATATAGCAGTACTTGTATACACACATACTTCCTACATCAGCTTATTTGCTTACATTTAGATGCGCGTGCTTGACTTTGTATGCAGACATGAATGTAAGTATGAAAACAAAGGCTCCCTACAGTTAAAAACTTCAAGTGAAAAAATAACCAATGACTAACTATATCCCGTGGTTATTCGAAGCATTACAAAAAAGTTTCAACCTACACATATGCATACGCACACAATATAGAGGCGTTTAACGGGCGAATAAGAAACGTTAACACAAAGTGAGTTGACCAAGTGTTTAGTTGTGCTCTTCAAATTGTATTTTTATATTTTACAAGATGACTTACCTGGAAATGTCACGTGGATTCACAGCAGGTGTGAAAAGTTTTGTTTTCTAATAACAAGACAAATAGAAATCATTTTATTGTACGAATAAACCGGTAAATATTGAAGGATTAGTTGTGTAGTAGTAGTAGAAGTAGTAGCAGCATTAGTACTGGTATAAAATAAAGAAAATGTAGTGAATTACAGGAAATAAAAGAGATCAGTTTTTCAAAGCATTTGAATGGGGTGTATACACAACCAAATTCTACATTTTCACGGAGAATTACTTCTGACATAATTGGTAATAAAGCTTACAATTGTTATGTTTCTGAGGGCTTGTGACACAGTTTATAAAGTAAGCAAAGAAAGTAAAACAGGGACTTCGATTCTTGAAGACACCATTCAGCAGGTGTTAGGCTTTATGTAAGTTTTTTGCTGGATAGGGTTTTAAAAAGGCCTTTGCGTATCGTGGTGTCATAATAAGATGAAACTGCATCCAGTATTTGAGTTGATTAAACACTGCAATACCATTCAGTAAACACTACTACATTTTTTCTGCCATCATGTCACTAAGGTGACTTATCTTTTGTATTAGGATTAAAAATTAAAAATATATACATTCATCTCATCATATACCTATAATTTTACTGATTATTAAAAGACGCAGTACAGATCACGAGTATTGCATGATTTTTCTTTGTATATAGTAACAGAATATGCAATATTTTTCTGCTGGATAGTGCACGTCTAATTGGGGCTACTGAGTGAATCCAGCCACTAACAACCCTTTCGCTGATGAAACTAGAACTTTTGTATACCACCGTTTGAATGTCATGGAGCGTATTTAATAATAAAATGCATTCTTTACAGACCGAACGAATAATTAGAAAGTATACCAGTCAAACTCCATGGTTATCACTAGAATTTCTTTTCTTTGTTAAAAACTGCGACAATCGCCGTCCTTAAATACCTTTGTAAATAACTCATCAGGTGGCTATATCCCGTTTAAGGTCTTTCTTTCGATTAACTCCTGAAGGGTAGGTCTTGTTCTGATGATCCCATTTTGTCTGTATACTAAGAAATAATTTACCACTCACACATCTTATTTGTAACGTGCCTGAGAATGTGAGATTTGTAGGCCAACTTATTATAATAGACAGAGGGGGTGTTTTGGAAGACGAGTTTTAGTCGCCCCTGAGTTATCAGTGTTTTCTTTGACTGTTAACATCATACTACTGAAGTAATCACTTTTTGTACAGCTACCTATTGCAATGTAAACAAACAGGAATGGTAACTTCAAAAAGAATGACCCAGGATTTTACCTGTTGCTGCTAGAATTTAATTTTGTCTATTTAGCCATAGTTTCTAACAGATTATTTGCGGGAAGTTAAATGGTGGAAACACTTCCGATATTGATGCAGACGATAAGTTTTCAATGATGAGGAGCTTAATGATGAACAGTTAGTTGTAGAAACAGACCTCATGAATAATTTAAGTGATGCCAATCAAACAACTAATGGGAATTTTAAGGAATCAGATGGCTGATTTTTCTCCACCTTTCAAATAGTCAGCATGAAGGCTTCAGATTCTGTCGAAACTGTTTGAAATTTCGGACATATTTATTACATCGAAAAATAAAATGAACTATCTCAGCCGACTCAATGATTAGTGTTGATGATTTTCATCAAATGTCTTTATCAGTATATTCATAGACTTAAAACAGTCAAGGTATTTTGAAATAATGGTACTTTTCATGCCTAAAACGAAATCAGATATCTTTTGGGAATTATATAACTGAATGACACGTAGAGGTGACTTATAATACATCTAGAGCTATTAGGGATTGTTTTTCCGTAAATTTAAGGGGTGACATTATCTGAAAACCAGACACATCAGCTTAACCATGTGCATACTCGTCATTGTCTAAACAACTAATTTCACGAGGCTACTATATCTATTATCTTAAGGTTATTTCTAAAACTAATGTCATTGAAGAAAATAATACCTCTTATCTAAGATATTTAACAGGTCACGCTTAATGCATTTACACTTGACTTCAGATAATGAAAATTCTGGTGTCCAGGCGGTGTCATACTTGCTTAAAATTCACCTTTTTGACCAATCTATATAAACACAAATACGCATTTACGCACTGCTAAACACGTGAACATAGAGACACCTGAATACGACGACAGAGACTAGAATAACGATTGTTTGTATTTATCATCCCTCTTAGATATTATTGTGGTTTTTTTAAATTCAGTTTTTCTGCTTAAGGGAAAAGATTAGAATGAAGGAAGAGAGGAAAAAAACAGAAAGAGACTGTGAGGTCCATACACCTCTTATTAAATGCATTCAACTAGACAATATTTTTTTTGCTTTTCAACCTGTGTACCCATTAGACATGGATATATAAGTGTGACCGTGGCAACTTAATTCATTATATTGAACCACCTGCTGCGGTAGATTTAATAAACAATAAATTAGTTTGTATTAAAGAAGAGGGAGAAAGAGAAGAGAAAGGATATTTTTTGTGATCAACAATTATGCTGTCTTCTCCTACACCTTCTCTCCACTATATTTTAAAACAGGTCAAGGTTAAAATATGATTTTGCTTTCTCCTTTTATTTTTTGAACAAAATCATAATCTTCCTATCTGAAGACATTTTAATTTTGGGCTTGAAGGAAGAAATATTAATAAGGTTTGTTTCAAACTGAGGTGATTGTGAAGATCTGACTATTTTCAAAATAGGATAACAAGTAGAGATCACAGATAGGAAACCACTGAACACTGATAAGGAATACAAATGTGTTTCATCCCAATCCAAGACTTTTCAGGAGCCGTGGAGAACTGTTGTTTGGTCAGCTGGTAGAAGTCGGAAAACACCGACCTACCTAACGATCACAAGCTGTGATATTCTTACACTCTATTATGGTAAGTTTAAAATAATAATGAATTCGAGACTGGGATGAAAACAACTGCTCAGATTATAAAACCGCCAGATAACTGGCTAATAAATCCTATTTCCTATCAACTGTCACTATGGTGTCATCTCTGTCTGATATCATTAATGAGATCCAAAAGCATGGTCATTACAGCAGTATATTATATGATGAATTGTAGCATCTTATAACACATCAGTTGAAGCAACTTTCGAATTTCACCGGCATTAAGTTACTTACATTTGTTCAGATTGCGTCCGAAGGTGACGCGGAGGAAATCGTGTCAGGGGGAGATGAAAGTCTCTGGGGAAGTCATGAAGTCAGCCAAAGAGGACTGCAGAGAACAGGAAAAAGTACGGATATACTTTTGAAGCTTTATGTTCCACTCGGAACCCAAAGGAATAATCATAGTAATCTATCTCTCAGAATACAAACTGATTACTTGTTTATCTCAACATTTCGTCGAAACCATATGATTCACGTGATAAATAATCGTTAATAGGTATTCCGACTAAATCATTTAAACTTGTTAAATTGATTTTAATGAAGTTAGAATTAGACTGAATAAAAACTATTACATTATTATTATATTATGTCAAGTCCGACTAAATCAAAAAGTCCTCCAAAATCAAAGAAATCAAACAGAAGTATTTCACCAAAAAAGTCAGGTAGATCAAGTCCGAAAGAATATAAAAAAGATGATCAGTTAAAGGTGTTTTCACGTCAGCTTTATGATACAATACATGCGATATATAAAAAGAAAACGGAAAATCTAATTTTATACCTAACTCATATGCACATCTATGAAGTATGGAATAAATTACCAATTTATGAGCAATATTGCAATTCGAATATTGATTCTAATAACCGTAAGCATACCGGATCCCCAAGATCAAAATCACCTAAAAATAGATCACCGAAATCAAAAGGTAAATCAGCATTAAAACCAGCTAATGATGATAAATCCCAAGTGGAATATTTACCAGCCATTTTAGAGGGCACAATAGCCTTCAATACATCTAAATTCCCACGTAACTCTAAGATAGTTGTTGAAATTACAGCTACCTTTCGTTATATGGTAAACAGTAGATCTCCTGTATTTCACGACAGCACTTGTGCAGAGCACGTGTGTTATAGAGATTTTAAAACAATTTATCCTCTTCATTTAGTGTCTGATAGAGCGATGAGCGAATGTACGCAGGAACTAGCTTTCAAGCTGAGGCAGAAACTTGGTCGTGGTTATAGAGTCCTACCATTTCAATTCGAATTATCTAACTGTCCTGATTCAATTTTATTCAATGATCCTAACGTACATCATTTTTCAAATGGGTTATCCTGGAAAATACAGGTAATTGTAGCGCCAGATTATGCTTGCTTACCACTAAATAAGAATGAAATATCTATGAACTTTTATAAATATACTATAACGCCTTTATTGAGTCAGCAGTCATTTCATGAATCACCGACTGTTGAATGTACGCGTTTTGCTACCAATAAAGAAATTGGTAATTTGACTTTACGCGCTAAATTAGATCGTGATATTTACTATCATGGACAGTTTATCAATGTTAAAATTGAAATAGAAAATCAATCAGAAAAATACATAGTAAATAAAATCTGTATATATATTGAACAAACCTGCCGAATTTATCACCAGTTTCCGCATGATTCGGTTGTCCAGCTTAATGAGCTAGTCTTAGATTCGACAAATTCGAAATTACCCATCCTTCCTAAAACAAAATTATGGGTGAATGAGGTGAAACTCTGTCCACACTTTAACCGAACAAAAGCCAACCTGGCTATTGATGGAAAATTGCCAGCAGATTCAAAAGCATTTTTAGCTAGCAGTACTATTATTACATTTAACAGATGGATTCCATTATTAACAGAAACAGAAAGCACTACTGTTGCAGAAGGTGGAGAGGGCACTAAAACTGTTAAACAGAAAAGTGGAAGTATAGATTCCACATCACCGAAAAAAGCTTCGAGTGCAGAAGAAGAAAACAAAAGTTCACCAAGACAGAAAAGTCCTTCAAAAAAACCAAATAAAAGTCCTAAGGAGAAGCATTCATCATCACCAAAACGTTCTAAGAAGAAACACTCTCCATCGAAAAGTCCTGCTGTACAAGAAGCAGGACAGGAACGACAAGAACAACAGCAACAACAGGAAGGTGACGAGCAGAAACAGCGAACACAGAAATTCATCAAAGAAACAAGTTTAACTAGTCGACAAATATGTAGATCCATATTTATTAGTTACGATTTAGTAGTGAGATTAAATCTCAACTCTTCAGCAGGCAATCCAACGGTTAGAGTACCGTTTATATTAACCAGAGAAAGTCAGTACATAGACAAAATGTCAGCTATAACCACTGGACCATCAAATGTAATTAGACAAAGCAATTAGGACATATCTGGTTCTACAGCCTCAATGTAGATATTATATAGTGCGTATTGAAGTATACATTTATACACAGAGAAAATTTTGGATAAAACATTTTCTGAAGGACTACTCCAAAGCCATAAATCGTTCATCCACATCTAAATGAAGCAAAATGTGGAGATGCGATAAAGTATATATATATATATATATATATATATATATATCATGAGACTTTATGCGGTACACACATGCCCATGTAAACACAAATATCACTTTTAATAATTATTCTATTTCTGAATAAAAAGTGCACTGGAATGCAGTATATATTCTTTCATGTTAAGGGTTGATGATTTAAGTTGGTAAAAAATTCAAGACAAAGTATGAACCAGTGACTTCCAAACTTTACATTTCTATATTAAGCAAAATCCACGTTTTTTTGTAGTGATATAGGTTGACTGATCCTAATACTTGTCTTTACAGATATTAATAACTGACAGTTATGAATTAGTTGTGTTATCATTTAAGGCTATTAAACTGCTTCATCTTCAGATCCCGTGAGGTATACAGAAGTCCCTTCTGTCTTACTTTACGACTGTAAGATATGGTGGTTGAAGGTGCAAGGCACGAATAAATTGGTGGTTTTGACCATAGTTGTCTCCGTCCCATTTACTGTGTCAAGTGACGTAATATTGTCGGTAACAATGAGATTAGGTATAGAGTGTTAAGCAAGAAGGAGAAGTTAGTAGCTGAGACTATAGATGAAGTGACTGAAATCTCTCGTCATGTGTTACATATCATAGGTAGTGTCAGCTGAATTAGAACTACTCTGGAAAACAATTAGAGGTGATCAGATAAAATTTTATCAAGGAAAATACCCGTCAGGACCAAAAAGAGAGACAGAGAGGAAAGAATAAGAAGCTCAGCAAAGATATCTTGTGAAATCAAATCAGCTCCATTGAGTTTTTGAATGTTGGTTTTAGCTACAAATATAGTATCAGTTGGTTGGTTTACATTACTCCTTAGAAGTAGTTAAGTTTTATATAATGTGAGTAATTTTCATTTTTAATTCTATATGGTCTGGATAAGCTTTACTGCCAGTAATGGAAAAGAAATAGAAATAACTCAAAAACGTGGGTTATTAGTATGTATATCTGTTAAACAACTTGGCTTTCATAGACACTTAGAGACACTTGATTATGAAAGTGATTTGGGATAAATAGGAAGTTCCTGCTCGACTGATATCAGCTTAATCCATTTTCATTCATGGGAATCACTTAACAGACGCGACTCATTATCATAATCAACAAAAAAGGGAAGGAAAATATACGATTGTTTCTCCTAAGTTTCATCTTCTCTCATTTGTCATGGTAACTGTTAAGCGGTAAGATTTTCATCTAAGTAATGGGAAGATGTTTTTAGAAGAAATTAATGCTAATATTAATGTCTAAATAAGAAATTAATCTGGAATAGTTGAATGGGGATTGATCCAAAACTTTTAAATGTTAGTAGATGAATTAAAAACTATGGTATATATATATATATACCTGCATACACACAGTATTAATGTTGACAGATGTCTGAAGTAGTTTTATTTTTATTTCTCTGTTTCGTATAGGACTTAAAGTGTTTTAGTGTTAATTTCAATTATCAGTTTAGTGAATTTGATAAAAAGGTGCATTGTCATAAGTGCATAAAACACTGTCACAAACACACATGCAGATAAGCAGATAAATAGACATTTATATCCTCACATAGAGATAACTTTAATGGAGTTTCGGATTAGGAAAAACTTTAGATGACTGTACTTGTACTGTTGTGATGCGGTAAAAAAAAATAGTTTTCAAAAATTATCCACAACAGGGACACTTTCTAGTATTGACGACAATATAAGTGTCAATGCATTTTTATTAATATGAAATTAGTTAGTAAATCTATGTCTATGTATTCGTAATGGTTGATACAGTTTCCATGTATGAAATTTAACTAATATTTCAATCGATTTATACTGTCAGTATTATTATTATTGCAGTGCGATAATTTGTCAGTAGTTGTTTGGTGGTATTAGTATGGTTAACTAGTCGGTCAGTTGTACTTCCGGTGTAGTGAGTGTTAACCATAACTTCATATGTACTACTAAATTTGAATGCGTAGAATATTTTTCCAAAACAAAACAAAAAAATATCACTTCTAATTTTTTATTTCTCTACAATAACTCCTGATAAAGTTCATTTACATTTATTGACAATTAATTTTCTTTTTAAAAAAATTAAATTCTGAACTCTGAACATACTATTTTCAAAAGTTTTTTTGTAACTATAACAGATTTTATCGGAAGTCGACATAGGCTAGAAAATCATTGACAGTTGAGAAGGATGAGATGGACAGTTTTCAAAATTTATGCAGTAAGCTACATGGTGATCTATTTTTCCACAGTTTATTTCGTACGGTGTTGATCCCCATTAACTCAGGAAGTGTTTCCCTGTTATCTGTAGATAGATAACCAATGGAGTTGCTTTCAAGTGATTGTAGTAAATTAAATCAGACTATCAATGAAAATAAAATGCATTATTTTCAAAGCTAATGGTCTCTCTTAACTAACATTATCTTCGATTTTGAAGAACCATTATGTTTATACTTCATAATAAAGTATCCATTATTGCTAAAAACCAGCACCATAGTAGGACTTAGGCATGGATGTCTCTATCTAATTTCCTCTTGCTTACCGTCATCTTAAAAGGAGATTTTAATGCTGATATAGGGGAACCGAGCCTATCGATAGTGTCTGCTGAACTCCATGACTATCATACTCATCCATTCCTATCCAGCACCAACTTCATTTATAAACTGGGTCATTGTCTCACTTGACAAACGTCTGATACATGTAGACCATTTTCTGATATGTTATCGGTTGACAGAAATACTCTTCCTGAGGGAGCCTGAAACCAAATTCATTGTGCTGTAGAGGCAGAAGGGATACCAGTTACTGATATATTTCTTTGTTCGCTCGTTTACGTTACATGTAATAGCATGTTGAGTAACTGCGAAATCATACATAAAGTTATGGGTGAAGAGAAGAATTCGGTCCGTAAAGCTGATCCTTAAAACTTGACATATGACGAGGCCCAACCTACCTGCATGATGAATTTTAACTGAATCAGCACTAGACTGGAAGGGAGTTATAAATGATAAGATCAAAAATAGCCTTGATTTATAGGGTTAGTAACTTCTGATCAGAGCAATATAGGGATGATAGACTGACTGGTTTAGGTCCTCAGAAGGTTAAGAATCAATCTCTGTAGACCACTGAAGTAATCTTTTAAATCCCATTCACTTTCATGCTTGCTTTTTGAGTTATCATTATATTTCTGTTCCCCCATTTTACATCATTTTCCTAAGTATACGAACTTCAACTGATCCACAACTGCGTCAGTTAGTATACTTTATAGTGCAAGAGGATTTTGTAAAACAAAACAATACACAGATAATTATATTCAAATTTTACATCAGTAAGTCCTTACATATTGAAAGAGCTTAATGTAATATGGCAGGAGGAATCATTTAAAATAAGCTATGGGTGGTTCACAGCATTTCAAAGGATACTAACTTGTCAAAGGTTCCAAAGAATGTAGATAAAACAGGAACGGCTGCGAGATATCTTCTGCGATGTGTAGTAATGTTTAATAGGCTTGAACATGTATTCATCAAACATTCTACACTTAACCCATCACACAAATCTTGTTGCATGTAGACAACTACGACTACAAATTCTACTGGCAGAATATTGTTATCTTAAATCGAACTAATTTAAAGGCAGTAAAAGGATTTCTGAAATCATGACATTCAAACGAAACTGTAATCAACACTTATAACTGAACTGAAGTCGAAAGAAATGAAACCAATGCCTAAATATTCTTACAGCTGCTGAAAATGCCTGACTCTTAGCGAAGTACTGATATCACCAAAGCCTGGTGATGAAACTTCCATGACCAAATTTCAAAGATAGTAGAAAACCAAACACTTTACATCTTCATTCTAAGCCATAATTTCTTTCTGTTATAAGGAGTCATATTCTACTTTACTCAGACCATCACATACACCAAAAACTTTGGAGTTGAATCTTCATTTTATCCACAAACATTGTGAAGTCACAAGGGATCCTGACCCACACTGTCGTAACAAGACATCAAAGAACAAGCAAATTACCAACGAAATGCGAAGCAACAAAATAATCCTGAACATTCAGTAAATGCAGTCTACGTAAATGTTACAGTAACATTTGAAATACAAAAAAATGAAGGAAATAAGTCAAACCAATATTTGTATATAAATATTACATTTCTAATTACCGATGGTTAATAAGTGGATATATATAAACTGATTACAACATGCTAAAATCACTAAAATAAAAAAGCAGTGAAGGCAACTGAGACAGAAATGCACCAGACCGACAACTTTTTTCAGATAAAATGAGTCAGTCGACAAAAAAACAGGAATCCACGTTTGATATTTTCTCTTACCTATCTCTACATGAAAAAGGAAATACTTCTGCAAAAACAATAATTTACTTAATGTAGTCTCCTACTTAGTGATATTACCACTCGGGTATTCGAAATCCATTTGATCTTGTTCTGACCTGAATAAGCATATGGTTATTCACCAGGGTTTGCTGATGCTTATTGGTCAAGAGATTCGTAATTACCCAATAATGATCGAGAATTTAACAGAGCTCATGCGTAAATTGGTTCAACAATTTATGAAATTACCCTGCCGTTTTCCCGGAATTTCTCTTCACTGAAGAGTAGCAAGTTACTGAAGTATCAAATACACCTGAAGTTATGATAGGAACAACTGTTGAAAAATCTTTGAAAATGGCCCGTTTTCCTGAACTAAGAAGAAATTACAGTCAGAAGTGATTCATGACCTGCTGATGTCTAAGATTATATGTCATTTGTTATCTAATTTCTTTTACAAGCACCACTAGACACCTGTTTTTACCTAGTATTTATTCCTCAGTAGTTAACATG